GTCCATAATCGGTCATCGGCTAAGGGTGATGGAAAAAAATCGGTATTGGCATCGGCCCTAAAAAATCCATATCGGTCTATCCCTACTACATACAGTGTGTTCTCCAGCAGGGTTGGGCTGATGGCTGTCAGTCATAGTCATTGACCACAGAGCCCCACATGGAGATTTGAAAGCCCACACACACACACACACACACACACACACACACACACACACACACACACACAAACACACACCGGGACGCAGGTTTGCAGTGGTGTTAATGGCATTCATTGCGTGCTTCTGATCCGTGTCTCACACTATGCCACATTAGATCCTTGAATTTGAGGGAATAGGGCCTGGAAAGTCATTGAAAAGTTCTTGACTATGATGTTTAGGAGGGTGTGGGCACATCACATGTTGTACCAGTGCCAGCCTATGCGCCTGTGCTGGCATCCACTGTGGCCTTTATATGACCTTGTGCTCACCTACATTGAAAGAAAAAAAACCACGATGGATGCCTTTTATCAGAGTCAGGCCAAGAATCTCATCTGTGCTTTTATGTCCTAATTAGAGAACAAAACAGCAGTTGAATCGCTGGCTGTGCGACTGCTCCAAAATGTCTAGTTGTTCAGGGGTGGCCTGGTTTTGTCCTGATTGAGGGTGATGGCTGGGAAGCATAAACATGTGTCAATGAGGAGCACAATCGGGTCCAGGGCCCAAGTGTTGGAGGTTGATGGGTATGCGGGTGTGAAGCTCTGTGGCCGTGTCTGCTCCTACCTGTTTCAGCCACCTTATCAGTCACTGTCTGGAGTTGTGAGGCCTAAAAATAGGTTCTTGTGTGGTTTTCGTGCAGCTCACCCCCCCCCCCCCCCCCCCCCCCCCCCCCCCCCCCTTCAGGGATCCAGTTTCACTCTGTCTGGTCTGGTGTTTATTTTCTGTTTATTCAATACAGGTCTGCAATCACTGCTTAATTTCATAGTTTGGTGTTTCCTTTTTCCCCTCCTTAATACCAGTGACATCTATGATTAATTTTGTTTGCAACTTCACACTCATTGTCACAGTTCAAAGCGAGGCAGAGAAGGGCAGGAGAGGAAAGCAGAGCCCCTCTGTGAATTGGCCCGTGTTGAAGTTAATGATGCAACTTCTGTATGACATTGTTTCCAGATTGCAAAGTTCCAGTTTAATGTAAAGTTAAGTCAAGACAAAGAAAAGCAAACGTGCTGCGGAGAGAGAGTAATTTAAACCATGTTTGTGTGAGCAGAGCCTGGCCCAGCTCTCTTAATTTTACTCAGGTATTGTTTTCAATAACAGTGTAGTCATAGAAACCAGAGCCCCCCAAAAAACCTTATTTATTTATTTTTTGTGGTTGTGTTTTTTACATGTCCTGTTAATCCTCCTCAAAGGCAAATCCAAGTTTGTTTTTTTCTTGCTTAAATCCAAGCGGTAGAACTGAGATGAGGTTAGATTTGTGTATTCAGGTCTTGTTGACCTATTTGTATTGTTTGCCACAGTTACAATGCAGGTGCACACAAGCTAACTGGTCCCTTGTTTTTCCAGTATGAACGCAAATTAACTATGTTTTGAATTAAACGTTTGTGTGCATGTTGCATTGTGAGTGACTTAGGGGACAGTCTCGGTGGCCTCATTGTTGAGAAGCATTTTGTGACTGCAACATCCCTGGTTCATTTTGTGGATTTATGTTGCATGCTGTTCTCCCTCTCTTCCCCCTCATTACTTGACATCTCTCTGCTGGTGACGGCTGAATGAAGGCAGAAGTGCACTAAGAACTATTTTAAAAAGACAATTGAAAGTCTTGAGAGGACATATTAAGGCACACGTCAACACATTGGATTTTAGCTGGATTTCAAAGCACCGATGTATTAAGCTAGAATCAGTTTTGCATGTAAGAGGTTTATGAATGTCTCAGGGGTCAGCTGCCAACAGAACAAGCGATCTATAAAAAAAGAACATTTTATTAAGAAACACATTGTTTTGATCTAGCAAAGACTTACCTTACATGCCCTGATGAAGTTGTCAGGGCTGAGTTAAGTTTCAACTCTGATGTGAGTTGAAACGTGTAAGCGCTAAGCCCATTTACTGACGGCTGTAATTTTTGCAAAGCAGTGTGTCCTGGTATTTTCTGGTCATGACTTATGGATCACATCGATCTTTCTCTGTTGTTGTTCTCATGTGTCCTTGGATCTAAAGAGCACCTTTTTGCAAAGAAGCACTCAGCCAATCTACTGCTTTGCTCTCCATGAAGACTTGACCCCTGTTAATACTGCATGCTTCACACAAAGCATGGAAGCTTGTTTAAAGGATAGGTTCACTAAAGCAATAGCCAGGTGCCCATATAGACACCGAAACAGACTTTTCTTGCTGTAACCTTTCCTCCTGTTCATACTGCTCGTTATTGTCATCCTCCCTGCTGTAGGATCCCTTCCTGGCTGAGATGCTGCAGAACAATAAGGACCAGATCATGTGTTACCACGAACACGACTCCCTGCTGGACCACAAGGAGGAGGAAGCCCTGAGCGAGGAGGATCGCAAGGCTGCCTGGGCCGAGTATGAAGCAGAGAAAAAGGTAGGCAAGGAGGATTTTTCCTGGCTCAAAATAAAGCAGAGGTGGTACCATTCGATCATGTGCACACACATGCATGTGTACCATGCCTTTAACTGGCTCCAGCGAACACTCTTTTTATAAGCAACGTATTTTAGGAGTTTTACTAAATATATGCTTTAAAAAAGGCCATAGTATAGTCAGTAGGGTTTATAATGTGAATCCCTCAAAAATAAATGTTCATCTGCAATTTTCTGTGGTCACAGTAATAGTAGTTGTGCAGAGAAGCTGTCAGAGGCTGAGAACATGACCACAAATTCTGATATTTAGAATATCTTGTAAAACCATTTCATAAGCTTAGAAAATTACATCACTTTACTATAATGCAGCCTTCAAAACTAGAAAAGACAAAGACAACTTTTTTACGATATCCAAAAAGAATTGTCAGTCGAATTAGATTTGGCTGTTTAATACAAATATTTGACCATTTGCTCCTTTTTTCCATAAAGAGTTTAAGAGTTTGAACAGGATTCAGCGGGATATTAAGTTTGACAGTAACATTAACGCAATATAGTAAACAAGCTAACTGCGCTAATGACAGATCGGAAGTATGCAACATTTGTTGCCGACACTAGATATCAAACAAAAGCCAGAGACTATGAGCTGTAAATTCACCACCTCTACGCAGAAGCCAGGAAATACTGTGATTTTGGAGCCTTGCAGGGCAAAGTCTCCCTCCTCCGGGCTGCTACTCTGTGTATGCAGCAGCCTGTATCAAACAGCAGTGTAAAGGTGAGAAGCACTCACTCTGCAGCAGAATCAGGGGACTAGAACGTTCCCAGGAGTACACTGCACACTAACTGGCAAAAAATGACTGCTTGACTTGAAGCAAACTCAGTCAACTTAGGGGTCTTTGACTGATGATTCGAATCTCCGACTTTAGCCCTACACGATATCTGGTCTCATATCATGATATCGACATAATATCGATATATTGCCTAGCCCTAATTACGATACAGTGCCACCACGTTGGCACAATGCTGCATTTACAATTACAAATGTCAGAAATCTACCAAGTGTAGAGCTTGTTAGAAAATTGGTGGCACATAATTTGGTGGCACATAATTTGACCGAGGCGGCTGCCTCATAATTCTCCATGCAGTTAAAACCGTGGACATGTATGCTTCACACTGGCATATCTGCCCGTGTTAAATTCAAAGGCACACACATGCAGCATTTGTACACCTTGTGTCCATCATTCTACAAATCATTGACATCAAAGTGCAAGGTGCAAGCAAAGCGAGGCCCCACTGTTGTTTGTCAAGATGTGGGAGTTAGTGTTGGATCTGTCCAATCTTTCATCACTTAAAGTATGCAGATGACAGGGTCTATCCCCCCACTGCTGTGATCGTCATTTTGGCCCACCATCAGGCCGGTGATCTGCTATACAAATCACTGAGAGGCTGTATAAGCAGAGTCTGTGCTACTTACTCTAAGTACACAGGTCCACAGAGGGTCAGGGACTCCTTCTGTCTGCTTTACACTTTTCTCTCTTTTTTTCCTGCACCTCCCCCATTGTTCCTTTCTCTTCCCTCTCCTTTCTTGTGGGACAAATCAATGGACAATTAGTGGGGTTTATTTAGAGAAGTATATGGGGGGGTGGATGTTGTAAGAGAGCAGGAGCAGGTCTCCTCTCCCCCCCCGGTGTAATCCTAGAGTCTAATTCATCCTAATGATTATTTTTCCAACACACTCTCCCTCCTCTGCCCTCTGTGTGCCTTAAGCGGCTTTTCCCTGAGAGCTCCTCTGCTTTTCAAGAGAACAGAGGGTTCCCAGTCGCCGCGAAAAAACAGTGGCGCTGAGGTCAAATATGAGGATTTCAATTGCGTTCGCATCACTGCAATCTGTCATACACTGAAGATGCACAAGTAGTCACTTTCATCCACGAGAGGCTGTTCAGTATCACATTGTATATTCTGAGCTTTGTAGGAGAAACAACTGGAACGTAACCCGGCCTCTGTTAATGTCTTCACAACTTAAGGGTTGGCCGGCGGTGGCCAGGAAAAGCTATGTGTATGAATATCAGATTTGAAACTCAGGAAATGGGAAAAACTGTGAGAACATGATCAGGCGCCCAAAACTAAACTGAACCCAGGAGCCCTCTGTCTCACTGGGATGACTTCAGCTCGGTACAGAGCGTAGAGAGGCACATGTCATAAATTTTTGGTTTTGGAAATGAAGTCAAGTCTAGATTTTGTGTCTGTCTGTCTGAAGATGTATGAAGTCTGCAGAGCATCTGAGAATGTAGCTGAAGTCCAAAAGTGGCTGCTTGTTAATAGCAAACCCAAAAGTGAAAAGTGTGTGTGTGTGTGTGTGTGTGTGCGCGCGTGTTCATGTGTGTTGTGGTTTTGTGGTTGTTTTGAGGTTTTGAACTGTTTAGGCCTGCACACCTGTCTTTCTGACCAGGTCCAAAGATCCCCCACTGGCCCCCAACACCCACACACAGACACAAACACACATACACACACACATACCCTTACATACCGGATGGCCAGATTACAGGGCACGGGAAAACCATCTGCAGCAGAGGCTCAATTACACACAAACATCGGCATCCTGCTGGCCTTTACTGGGACAAAGCTGTTTACTTCAGGTCACTTCTCTCACACACGTTTAAAGAATACTTCACCCCTCAAATGATCATTTGTTTATCTGTTACTCACCCTGTGTCACCTTGAATTTGTGAAGAAAATTGTTTTTCTCACATAACTCGAACAAAGAATACAAAAATTACATAAAAATACATTTTTAACAAAATTTGTGCAATATAGTCCAAGTCTCAGTTATCCAGTCGTATGCTCAGTACTTCCCAAACAGACACCTAGTTCTGATAGGAAACTGAACTAAAAGTGAAGCTTATCTATGCTCTCTTCAAAGCCAGACTCCATTAACAAAATAGTAATTTTACCTCGCTGAACACGGGAGCTGCAGGTCAACTTTAAGAGAGTTTAGATAAGTTTCACTTTTAGGTCAGTTCCCTTTCGGAAAGGGTGTTTGTCTGCAAAGTACTGAGCATACCTCTGGATAAATGACACCTGGATTATACTGCACGAGTTGTGTGAGAGTTTGTTAACAGATGTTTTGATTTAGTTTTGCTTTTGTTAACACGGCACCCCTATGACTTCAATTCATTGAGAATTATCTGAGTTTGTGGATTCTTCGTTCACTGGGGTGAGTAATTGATGTACAAATGATCTTTTGGGGGATGAATAATTTCTTTACATCAGCAGAGACGGGCTGATATCAGAAATCTTGTTACAATTCCAGAGTGAAACACGATATATGCGAAGAGTTAAAAGCTTTGTTGTAAATAGTTCTGGCTGAACATGAAAAGCTGGACAAGTCACAGTGCTCATGACTTCAACAGGTGAATTGAACTGTCTTTGGTCCACCACAGTGATGGCACACAGTCTCTCCCATCATGTCCATGGTGGCTCTTAACACCTGCTAAAATGTATTAAGCCTGTTCTTGTCTTGTCTGTGCACCCTCTGTCTCCGTCTCTCAGGGTGTGTCCATGAGGACCAACTACCCGGCAGGATACCTCCAGACTAACATGGGCTCCTCCAACTACTTCTCCTACAACATGGCAGCTTTGGCCTCCATGACCAACCAGCAGCTGGAGGTAAGTAATGAGCTCCACATGCCCCTCTCCTGCCTCACACTCCTCCCTCTCCTTCCCCCACGGCATGGCGCCCCACATTCCTCAGACCCCGCTGCTAATTGTGACAACAGTCTAGTAGCCGACGTGCCCGGCTCTGCCCCGCTCCTCCACCACGCAGTTTGTAATACTCCATGTCTGGGGCAGCAGCTATTTATACACAGTGGCACATCTGAATGAGGGGGGGGGCACAGAATGTCCAATAGGCAACTTATACTTTTCAACAAGGACATCAAATTGTAAAATACTGTATCCTGGCTTATGGTTTTGTAATTGTCTGTCTGCCATTTGGTGCTGGGTGGGAATAATCATTACAGCTTTTTTGCTGGTATTCGTTAGGTGTTTTTGAGCATGGAGAGACTGAATGATACAGAAAATATATGGGCTAAAAGAATGTCTTTAGAGCTGCACTGTTTGTGATAATTCTCTGAGGGGGAGTATAGACAGAAGTGTAGAAGTGGTACAAAACTTGATCATGAAGCCCACCCAGTGTTACTCGGCCAGGCTGATAGCTGGTCGACGATTTTTGAACAGGTGTTTAAACTCAGACTAGTCAAATAGTCCAGATGCTGAACATTGCTGATCCATACTCTTCCCATTTTCCTCTGGATATCTTAATAATAAGTTAACTAACTAGTAATTCTGGTACCAACTAGGAAGGGTAGTAATGTTTGTTCAACTAGCCGACTAATCGTGTAAACCCTCATGAACATCCACAGTTATGTATCCATTGTTTGTCGTGAAAATGAGAAAAGCTCACCTGCCTTTTGTCTCATGTTGTCTGTCTTCTCTCTCTGTTTCAGGAGCTTATAAACCAGGGACGACAGAAAGTCATTGAAGCAACAAATGCATTGAAGACTCTAGCCCGGGAGTCACTGGAAGATACTATCGCCAGAGTGGTGAGTTTCTAAATCAGCCTTCAGTCAGTGCACATTAACTTCATTACTTAGAGAGGAATCTTTATTTGTTCAAAGAAGTGCTTTTAATGAAGTCACATTTCTGTCACTGGTCTGAAACATGATGAGTTGATAGTTTGGTGGTTGAGGTTAACGTGTGTGAATTTTCCTCTCACCCCACAGTGGAAGGAGAACCCAGCACTCACAGAGAGTCAGGTCCAGGCCATGGCCCTGGGACGACAGGCCAGTGTGGAGCTGGAGGTCAAGCGCAGGGAAGTCGCATACAGGGACGTTCTCACCAGGCAGCAGACGGTAAGAGCTGCTCTGTGTACGAGCCACAGTAGCTGATGACTGAAAAGCCCTTTGTACACAGAGACTGCGCTAAAGAGCCTCTAAAAGTCCCTTATTTATGCCGCCTTTGCAGCAAATTGTTTTCCCAATTTGTGGACATTATCAGTCAGACATTTTATATTGCTGTGAAAACATCAACACGTTTCTCCTTCAAATAGCTGTGTTTATTCAAGTTTCTCACCAAAAGCTACATTTTACAAGATTACATTTGAACACATCATGATAATGCTATAATTTACCTTCGCCTAATACTCATTTTTACTTGAAAGAGCCTGAACACATCATAATGTCACTCAATGCAACCTCCGTGAGCTGTAAGTTCTAGCCACAGGCTGCTAACGTTAACATGCTCTCCTGCTGATGTCAAGGCAGGTTTGATCTTCACAATGTTGTGTTATCAGGCAAACAAGTTGTGTCCCCTGAAGTGTCTATAGTGAGTTTACTGCGTTGTTTCCATCCCGAAGGTGTCCCAGGAGAAATCTCTTGATCCCAAACACATTTTCTGTTGTCCCAATTCTCAAGGTCTGCTTTTAGCCTGCTGAAAAATGATGTAACCCAACAGAAAAACATCGGCCTGTGCTGTTGGTGAATGTCATCTTATGTGCTGATAGGCCGATGGCAGTCAGCAAGGTGAAAATTTATGTAGCAATGTCATCGTGCAGAAATGTGCATCAGGTCATGTGGAAACATGTACTTTGACCAAAATTTCAATGTTCAGATTTGAAAATATAAGGAATCCTACTAGGAAGATACAGCATGATATAATAATGCTGCTCCTTAATTATAGTCGTGATTTTGTAGTTATTCTAACTGTCCCTCTATGTTTGTGTCTGCCCAGTTGATGATGTACGTGCAGAAGCTGATCACCAACAGGAAGGTGCAGGAGCAGCAGCTGGCCATGGCCAACCAGGCCAGCTACCTGAACCAGCTGGCCATGCAGAACGGCATGATGGGAGGCAGCGGGCTCAGCCAGATGGACCTGCTGGGGCTCTACCAGCAGCTCCACGGCCTGGGCAAGAATCCCGGGCCCTCCAAAGGCCTGTAGGTCAGAGGGACTTCCTCACCACTCACTACCCCCTCCCCCCACTCAACTAGACGGCTCCCAGTGGGCCAGTCCAAGCGAGGCCCAGTTCTCTGTAACAAACGCACTGTGACACCACCACTCAGAGCTCAAAGCATCTGGTGCACCAAGCAGAGGGTGGAGTACTTTTGAGACTAGGCTGCTGTCCACTGGGGCCTAAAGTGGGATAGACTCTCAGTTCTTTATTCTGTAGTTCATTGAGAGAAGGTGGAATATAATGTATAAATGACTGTGTGAAAGGGGTCTGTTAGGAGTTTCAACAGAAAAAAAAAAATGTATATACCGCCTTAATGTTATTCAAGTTCTATATCTTCATTTTTCATGTATTTAAAGACAAATTTTACCCCCAAAGCATTGTATTGTTTTTCTCTTAAAGAGGGTTTGCTTATTATTTAAACTCAGTTTTTTATACTGTTTTAAATGCCTAACTAAACCTGAGTGGGACCAGTGTCGTTGGTGACAGGACTCTATGATGTAAAGCTCTACATGATTATTAGACCCGGTAGATTCCTTCACCAATATATAGCAAAGCAGACAGCTGAGAGTGCTGCTAAGTCCTGCTCTTTTTGGGAGACTGAAGAAACCGATAAGTCAACAAAAAACAGAAAAAAAAAATTGGCCTTATATTCATTTCCTAAATAAAGCTCTGTAAAGTTCTGAGATTTCAGATTTGTTGAGAATCTTTTCTATTATGCTTTTAAATGTTTACATTAGTTGTTGCTAAACATGGTAATGGAATGCTTGTGTTGTTCAAAACTGCCTGCCGATTCCTATGACCTTTTTTGTAACATCATTCTCATTGTCACGTGTTGTCTAGCATAGCACTGTGCGTCCTGTTCATTGTTTATGTTCCACTGGGGTGAGTGACTGGGTCTCGCAAAGCACAACCAATTCAGCCGGATATCACAGGGCCCAAAACTTTTCATTTTACTTGTCTGTCAACGGTGTTTCACGGTGGATTTGATAGGAAGAGTGAAAAAGAAAATCTTATTATATATCTGGCTGATTTGTTTCCTCTGCTTTGTGAGAAGTGCCTTCTGGACACTAGTCTCACCAGGTAGGCCCCCCAGTCTACCTGTATTCTACTTTGGCACATTTTTTGCTTCTAAATGCTTATGCTGGTGTAGCTGTTAATCAAGAGGAATAATTCTCATTTCTCACAGAGATGCCTGTTGTCTCTAGTTGGCTCCTGTGTCTGCACAAGGTGTATTTCATAAATGTAGAGAAACTCTTTTGCCCTCCTCTAAGAATGTTCTTATGTTAGCAAATACACCAACATGATTTGCCATGCAATCTGATCTGCTATTATCTTGATAAGTATTTAATATAACATTTAATAAAGTGACCAAAAGGATGAGCAACTCTTGTGTTTGAGTCATTTGTTTTTAAGGGAAATGTTGGTAGGAGATCTGGTCATTATGTTTAGCAAGAAAAACTTTGATACACACGCATACACCAATCAGCCACAACATTAAAACCATAGTGAGGAAACCTTGGCCTCTGGTGTTTATGTGGATGCCACTTGACTAACACCATCCACCCAAACACCATTTCACACCAAGTACACCCCCTTATGGCAACAGTGGCCCCCCAGCAAGACTACACTCCATACTGTACCGCAAACACTGCTCAGGAACGGCCTGAGTAATGTGATGAAGAGCTCAAGGTGTCAACCTGGCCTCCAAATTCCCCAAATCACAAACTGATGGTGCATTTGTGGGATGTGCTGGTACCCCAAAGGTCCTGTGTCCATGCTTCCACAAGTCAGAGCCAAGTCCAATCCATGGTGTGGCTTCTGACCTAATGAGGCATGGACAGAGAATCTTTTTGGTTGTCCTGTGGTGTCCTGTACCAGGGTGTTGGCGTCAGATCCTTTGGGTCCTGTTGGCTGCGAGGTTAGGTATTGGCACATACCACAGATGCTCCATCGATAGGGCTCCGGGCAATGAGCTTTTAGTCATGTTCCTCCGGCCATTCCTGAGTAGTCTTGGGATGTGACGAGACATTGTCCTGCTGGGCAGTGGGTGTACCTTGTCTTAAACAGTGTTCGGATGGGTGGTGTGAGTCAAGTAGCATCCACATGCCAGAACTAAAGTTTCCCAGCAGAACACTGACTTGTTGCGAGATGATCATTGTTACTCAATTCACCTGTCAGTGGTTTACATCCTGTGGCCAATCGGTGCACACTCCAAGTCAGCAGACACCTGACCATCACCCCTTTGTGAGCTTGTTGGACATCGAATTCTAAATCCCTGGGCATGAATATGGAGTTGGACCTCCCTTTGTGGCTTTAACAGATCTGTAGTGTGCACAGAGGCACAGTCATGCTGCAACAGCCAATGGCCTTTCTCACACTGTTGCCACAAAGTTGGAAGCGTCCAACTGACTAAAATGTCTTCGCATCCTAAGTAAAACAGTCTGAGACCATTATCCCTCCTCCACCTAATTTTACAGTAAGCACTGTGATTTAGGGTAGGTAGTGTTCTTCTGGTATCCACTGCTCCAGAGTCCAGTGGTAGTGCTGAGGGATATGAAAAAAATCAAATATGATATTTTTGACCAAATAACTTGATACTGTGATGATATTGTAAGTTTGACTGTTTTTGCTTTCACAAAATATTTACACAATGAGATTTTTGAAGATTGGCAGTTTGATCCCTGGCTCCTCCAGTCTGCATGTCGAAGTATCCATGAGCAAGATACTGAACCCCAAATTGCTCCTGATGGCTGTTCCATCGGTGTGTGAGTGTGTTAAAAACTGAGTAGAAGGTGAGGCTTGCACAAATAATGATATTTAAAGGTCTAAGAAAATATTGGCCAGTATTTTTGGGGGGATTTTATGTCTTTATTAGACAGGTGACAGATAAAGATGAGGAGAAATGAGCGGAGAGAGCCGGGGAGTGATATGAAGCAAAGGGACGTTGTAGTTTATGGTCAGTGTCTCAAACCCCAAGGCCACCAGAACACGGACACAAAAAAATACATATTATTGATATGGGTACCATAAATTTGGTTATTAAAGAATTGCAATGTGTCTTGAGCAGGAAATTTGGACAGTAAAATAAAGTTTTCAGTGCTCTCTGGAGGACTCACTATACAACATGGACAGATTTATTTTACCTTCGAACAGAGCCAGGTGAGCTGTTTCCCCCTGCTCCCAGCCTTTATGCTAAGCTAAGCTAACTGCCTCCATCTTGGTATTCACAGATAAGAGAGTGGTACTGATCGTCTCATCTTATTCTCGGCAGAAAGCAGAGCGTATTCCTCAACACTTTGAGCCGGTCCTTTAACAGTTGGAAATCAGATGACTGATACAGCTGATGCAGTGTCCCTGTATTTCACACCCACAGCACTAAGTGCCTTTTGTCTCACTTTCTTCTCCCTTCAATCTTTCATCTATTTTCCCTCTCCCGGTATTGTTTTCATTTCTCAGTCTGCCAGGGTTTTCCCCTGCATGTCTTTGACTTTTCCATTCCCTCCCCCCCAGGGGAGCTTGCTTTCACAGCTTACAGATATCCGCCAGTGGAGAAACATTACAACTATTGCAGATGTTGAAATGTTGATCCCATCCCCTCTCAGCCCCAGATTACCACCACTCCAGGTTTGCGGCACATCCCTGCTGGTTCCCTGTGCAGCAGGCAGCTGTTTCTGTCCATTGTGGGGCTGCGGACTACACTGTGGTGGTGTCTGTGAGGCCCCTGCAATGAACAACCAATCACTTCTCTAAATCCATGCTGATGTGTAAAGCCAATTAGGAGCTGGGATCCAGTTGCATAAGGAATCTGATTTTGTACGGTGGATGTAGGCTGACTAAGACCTTATGGAGACACAGAGGGCCTGTGCACATTACTTGGTAAAGGGTTTATGAGGGCAAATTGGCATGGGATTGTATCGTGTTCTCCTCTGGGAAGAAAAATCTGCTGTATCTTTTTACCTCCATCTTTTGGACAGCAGAATAAAATGCCATGCAGTCATTGCTTTAAAGGTGTTACATCTGAGGTATTTTAATAATAATGAGCGTGGGGTATAATAACAGTCAGACATTAGCTGCTCTTACATCAGCAAAATCCAAATCATTTTTGTTGAGACAAAAGAAAGCTACTTTTTAAAGGTATACTATGCAGGATAAAAAAAACAATGTATATACACTTAAATACAAGTAATCCTTCTCAGTCATCTCTTATGACTCCCTTAAAGTGTGTGGCGTTATATTAAGTTGCAGACATCCTCCCCTCTGCCTGTATTTTCTGATTATTTTTCTTATTTTTCTGTGTATTTGCTCCAAAAACAGCATGCAGGTAGCAGCAGCTCACATGCAAGAGAAAGCTATGAAAATTACACAGAGCAGAAAAAAAAAAAAAAAAAAAAACGCCAAGCAGACAAAGCTCGTTCCAAAACGAGAGAATCTGGGGTTTGCTTTCACTTTCGCTGGTGAGCATTGAAGAAGAGGATGAAGAGCGACGCAAAGTTAGCCTGTTCTCTGTTGGACAGGTATGCGCCGGAGGTTAGCTTCGTTAGCTTGCTAAAGTGTCGACTTTTCCGAGATATTCTCACTCCAAACTCGTCATATGCTAATGCTTAGTCCGTGGCCCCACACGTCAAACTCTTGGTACCCCTCTAGCTTCAGTTTTAGACGCTCTAAGTTTATTTTGAAAAGAGTATGTATGCATTAAACGACTGGAAACTGGAAACGAATGCAAAATCTGAAGTGCTTCCTGTCATTTGGAGCTCCAAAAAGTAGTCTACCATCCATTCCCCTCCACTGGCTTATTGCTACTTAAAACCATTTGCCGTTGCATGTCGCTTCAGTATCTACGCATTTATCTCTAAAAAGTGGTTATTGAGAAGACATGGCACCTAATTCGATCACCCCCTCTAGCTTCAGTTTTAGACGCACAGGGACGGCGTGTCAATTTACGCCTGCTACATGCATTGTCTTTTTAGAAATAAACTTATGTTCTCACAGGAAATGTACAGTTTCCAGTTGTTAAATGCATACAGACTCTTTTCAAAATAAACTTAGAGCAAAAGTAAAAGCTGTGTTTAGGTTTATGTCCTTAATTTGAGGCAACAAAAGCACGTGGCAGTTTGTTTGACCCATCCACCACCGCTCTCACCCACTCAGTGCGTCAAAAAATGCTGCCGCCCTATGTTTCTTATACCGCTGCTAAAGGATGCCTTGTTGGGTCTGTATTTGATGTGTAGGGCCACTGACCAAGCATCCATATGTGACGAGTTGGGAGTGAGACCAGGTTAGCTTTTCCATTGCATCAATGTGACGTTCCTACAATAGTACACTAGCTTGCAGTGAAAAAACAAGCAGTGAGGGGAGGAGGAGCCAAATCTGAATGTTGTGTTTACAATTCCGGCATAGTATACCTTTAACGTTGCTTCAACAGGTCTGCTCATCACCAGGTGAAAACCACAAATGTTGACCTCATGGTAGCACTGGAGGAAAATGTAAGGGATACCCAATGTCTTTAAGATTCATCCACAGGGGATCATGAATATTGGTGCAGAATTTTATGGCAACCCATCCAACAGTTTTTGAGATATTTCAGTCTGGGCCAAAGTCCAGCTGACCGACAGTCATCCTGCCAGCATGGCTGAAAATAAAAGGAAAGAAATGCAACATTTACGTAGATTCTATATCTGGTTTTTAATTGGTACATCAGATTTTTATCCATGCAAAAATAGTCTCTCACAATGAGTTCTCAATAGCAGGACAATTTTATTGTCATGTTCATTGCAGTTTTTTTTGTGTTGTGTAATTTCAGTAGAATCTACAGTCCAGATAACTTCAAGTTCATTACAAAATAAAGTCTTTGCAATAAATAAATATATAGATTTATATTTATACTTTATATGTAGAAAATAAATATATTGTACATCTCATAAATAGGATCACTCATATGTACACCTCAGCTGCTTGCATTTTTTTAGTAATGTTCCTGACATTCTGAACATTACATGTCACCATCCTTTAAAAAGCCCATCACAATTCTTTACAACCACAGTCAGAGAAGTGCTTTTGTCCCGAGCTTAATTGCTTGTTTTGCGTACAATTCCTACAAGACGCCGCTTGATATTTGATTTAAATGTGATGAATGAGACCGTTAGACTCTGATGATTATGCAGGGGACTGAGTGAGCCTACAGCTGGGACTGGGGATGTGCAGTAAGTGCTCTTTCATCTATCACACATTCATCTTAGAGATTTTATTTCCCTCTTTCATCTTTGATTTTGAAGACAACTTAATAAAACTCCAGTTCGCCTTGCAACTGCTTGCTCTCTGCCTCACAGACATTCTTCTTCTTTAGTACCTGACTATCCCAACCTGTCACTTAACACACATGTAGCA